AAAGTATAATTTATAAACCATGAAATTCTTTCATTTAAAATGTATAGTTCAATGTTTTTAAATATATATTCCAGTCACCGTCATCTAATTTTAGAACATTTCCATCACTCCAATAAGAAAACTTTCCATTAGTAGTCACTCCCTCTCTCTCCTCCCCTGCCTCCCACCCTAGGCAACCATAATCTCCTATCTGTCTCTACAGATGTGCCTACCTTGGGCATTTCATATACATGGAATCATACAAGATTTGGTCTTTTGCGACTGGCATCTTTCATTTAATATGTTTTTGAGATTCATCTATGTTGTAGCATGCATCAATACTTCATTGCTTTTTTTTTTTGAGACAGAGTCTCGCTTTGTTGCCCAGGCTAGAGTGCCGTGGCATCAGCCTAGCTCACAGCAACCTCAAACTCCTGGGCTCAAGTGATCCTCCTGCCTCAGCCTCCCGAACAGCTGGGACTACAGGCACGTGCCACCATGCCCGGCTAATTTTTTTCTATACATGTTTTTAGTTGGCCAATTAATTTCTTTCTATTTTTTAGTAGAGACAGCATCTCACTCTTGCTCAGGCTGGTTTTGAACTCCTGGCCTTGAGCGATCCTCCCGCCTCAGCCTCCCAGAGTGCTAGGATTACAGGTGTGAGCCACCACGCCCAGCCCTACTTCATTGCTTTTTAAGGTTGAATAATATTGCATTGTATGGCTATACCACATTTTGTTTATCCATTTATCAGTTGACAAACAATTGGGTTGTTTCCATTTTTTGGTTATTATCAATAGTGCTGCTGTGGAAATTTGTGTACAAATTGTTGTGTAGACATATGTTTTCAATTCTCCTGAATAGATTCCTAGGAGTAGAATTGCTGGGTCATATGGTAACCTTATGTTTAACTTTTTAAGGAAGTGTCAAACTGTTTTCCAAAGTGGCTGCACCATTTTACATTCCTACCAGTGGTATATGAGGATTTCTGTTTCTCCACATTTCTGCCAGCACTTGTTAATGTCCATCTTTTTAATTCTAGCCATCTAATTCATATCTCATAGTTTTGATTTGCATTTCCCTCATGAATAATGATGTTGAGCATCTTTTCATGTACTTACTGGCCACATGCATATTTTCTTTGAAGAAATGTCTGTTGAAATCCTTTCCTAATTTTATGATTAGGTTATTTGTCTTATTATTATTTAGTTGTAAGAGTTCTTTATATATTCTAGATACTAGTTCTTTATCATATATATATGATTTTCAAATATTGTCTTTCATTCTATGGCTTGTCTTTCACTTTCCTGATGATGTACTTTAAAGTACAAATGTTTTTAATCTCGATGAAGTCCAATTTATCTATTCTTTCTTTTTGTTCATACTTTTTGTGTCACATCTAAGAAAGCATTGCCTAATCTAAGGTCATGAAATTTTATCTCTATGTCTTCTTGCAAGACTTTAATAGTTTTAATCCTAATATCTAGGTTTGTGATCCATTTTGAGTTAGCTTTTGTGTATGGTATGTGGTAGGGGACCAAATTCATCCTTTTGCACGTGGAGTTCCAATTGTCCCAGCACCATTTGGGGAAAAGCTTCTTCTTTCCTCATTGGATTATCTTGGTACCCCTCGTCAAAAGTCAATTGCTCATAAATGTATGGGTTTATTTTCAGGCTCTGAATTCTAAAATATTGGTCTATATGTTCATTTCTCTTTTAATCTTACAATAAATCGGCTCATGCTTCATCCTACATGTTATGGGGACAATAGTATCTCCCCACTGCCAGAAGCCTCAGAATTCTCAGGGACAGATTCTCTTCCTGGTTACATCTTATACAAATTCTTTGCTTTCATTGAATTTTGTCTCCTAGCTCTGGGTCTTATCCTCTATAACCTAGCCCTCCCACTTCATTTCAACTTTCCCTGGACACCATTTCATTTCCTCATTCCCTAAAGTACCACAAACACACCAGTGTATGACAAACTCTTATTCAGAATTTTAGTAAATGGATGAAAAATCCTGCAAAGATTGTATGGACAGCAACTTAAAAAATAAGATCACTGCCTAAAAGTGCAGCAACCTGATCTTTGTGATAGGAAATTTTACTTTGCTATGGCTCCTTTATATTCTGGCTGATTGTAATATTCTTGGGCCTCTCTTGCTTCCTGGCACCTTCTTTTCTCCTCTCTACATCCTAGCGCTAGCTATCCACGCTAGAGTGTAGTGGCAGCATCATAGCTCACTACAACCTCAAACTCCTGGGCTAGAGCAACCTGCCTTTCATATAGCCTCCCAAGTAGCTGGGACCACAGGCACAAGCCAGCACACCTGGCTAAGTTTTCTATTTTTTGTAGAGATGGGGTCTTGCTATGTTGCTCAGGCTTCTCTTGAACTCCTGGCCTGAAGCATTTCTTCTGCCTAGGCCTCGCAAAGTACTAGGATTACAGGCAGGAGCCACCGTGCCTGGCGCTCTTTTCTTTCTTATGTGGGGCACTAAGTTCTCTCCTTGACTTGCCTTTGCTATGACCCCTTCCTCCCATTTTCAACAAGATGGCCCAGGAAGTTTCCCTGAGCCTTTTCCCCAACAAAAGAACCCCATCTCTCAAGTAAATGCTGCCCCCTACCTAGAGTAAGAAAACATTGTCATTTTATTTTCTAAATCACAAATATTTTCTTTCTATACATATGATTCAGTGTGATGATCCTACCTGGGCTGCAGCCTCCTCATGTGGGAAATGAGAAAACCAAACTACTCTATCTCTAAAGCCCCTTTTAATTCTAAATTCCTATAGAAACTTACAAATGCACCTAAATGACTAAATGGAGGATTTACATTTGGTAGAGCCTGCTTAGAGGGGAAAAGGGAAGATGGAGAAATTTTCCTTCTTTTCTTGCTTCACAGATTTGTCCACAGCCTGGCCTTATCAATGAACATGAATACTACTCCTGTCAAAACACAGAGTGGAATCCCCTGAAATACCTTTTGTGACAGGTGGGGAAGCCACAGCATGATCATGGAATAAAAGTCAGTCTTCAGGATTCAGATTTAAATAAACTTAAGTGAACCCCCACCTTGAATCAGGCACTTTGCTAGGTGCTTTTAAACACACTATCTCATTTAATCACAGTAAGGTTATATTGCCTCAGTTTTAAGGATGAGGAAATGATGCTCACCCAGAGACACCAGGAAGCTACTTGAAAGTCTTATAGCCACTGAAGGGTGGAGCTACAAGGACTTGACTGTCCCTTGGAAGGTCTAGTTAGATATTTAAAATGCACACACACACACACACACACACACCCCTCAAGGCAGCAAACTCCACGCCTACAGGGGCCAGGTAGGTAACAATAAGGAATAAGGTGGACAGGTATAGGAACACAGGAACAGTGGAAGGAACATGTGTACCCTCTAAGCTTGGCAGCTGATGATTAGCACTGGGCAAGTATGCCATCTAGAAATGTGGGTCTTATGTGGTCAATTTTCTGATTTCTCCAACTGATGGAGGAAATTCAGAATTTGTGTGAATTACCCCAATTTTTAAATAAGGAGCCAACAGTGAGCCAAATACAATACCAAATACAGGTCAAATTTGGCCCAGGAGACTACTACTGAGAATGAATTCCTTTGGTTTAATACCCATCTTTCTATTCATTCATCTTCTCAAAAGCAAACATGCTTTAAGTGAGGAAAGTTGCCATTCCACTGGTGAGAAATGACTGATGGGGTAGGGTAGGGAGGGAGTCCCCACCAGCCCTGGACTTTGTAGCTGGGGAAGAAATTTAAGTCACTGCCTTCAAGGATTTGACCCTGCCAGGACGGAGATGCCTTCACCAATGTTCACAGGGTCCTACCATGGAATGTGACAGACAGCTGGGAGCAAATGCGGGCCTTGGCCTTTTTCACTCAGCTGAGTGAGAATGAGGGTCTTCGGAGCATGGGTTTAAGAACAGGAGCTTTCTTTCAATTGTTCTATACAGAAGAGAAACTCAAAGGAAGACACCAGTCATTAACACACACACGTTTAACTTGCTCACTTGGTGCTTGAGTTATCTCATCCGGAGACGGATGAGCCCCTCCTCTCATGGCTA